AATGGGTGTCATATTCTACTGATGATGTGAGGGCGGTGATCTCACCTGAGTTGAGGAGTCCATCAAATGTTTGGATGGCGATGGTCACTCTGATCTGTTATGCGACCGTCGAGTAGCACTCCACTGATCGCGTGCTTCGGCAGTTTGGTTGTTTTCAACCAATTCCGGAATCATCTCGCAATATGGACGAGTTGCATAGCTTAGATAGACGCGACAAGACAAATACAAATTGGCTGGTGAGGCATCATGAGTGGGTCGTGTTGTGGGAGGATCGACATCGGCGTCTTCCCCGTAGAGAGCCCATTTTTACTTACTTCTTGATGTATGCTGACAGTTATTATAAGTGGATCAACAGTCACGGAAAACCGTTTCTGCTTCCCGAGGATGCACGAGGGCAGACCTTTCCACGACGTCGATAGAGACGTGATCTGATATAGCACCATCGTCCCCCGACTCGTGGACGGAGAGCAGGTGCTTCCGGTTCATCCTCAGCTGCACCAGCAGAACCTTCACAGTAGCCACCACAGCCATTTATGATGCTGCAGCCATATATGATGTCGCCATCGCCTTTCCATTACCAGATGCCGCCGCCGCCTTCACCTGGTTTTATGACCCCGCCGCCGCCGCCTTCACAGATGACCCCTCCTGAAGGCTATTATGGGTTTATGTTTGTAGATCCGACTTGGGGTTCATATACTGGATATTTGGCGGGTTCAGCCTCATCACCCATGACCGCAGCACAGACACCTCCTGTCCAGTTTTCACACTCAGCGATGTCTGGGTTTTCCCAGTTCTCGCAGGCCGGTGGGATAGTCAATCATACACCTCCAGGGTCCTTATTCTATGGAGGTGCTTCATCGTCATCAACTCCTCATCAACCTAATGTATCTGCTCAGGACGACGACGACGACGACGGTGATGATGATGACACGAGGAGTCAGAACCAGTGATACGAAGAAATCCTCCTCGAGACCGACAACCACTGCCCTGCGGAACACATTCGCGTCGCAGGCATCGATAGATTTTTTATTATATTTGTATTTACTTTATTTTTTTAAATTGTAATTTTTTATTATTTCTCATTTAATACTTACTTTATTTTGTTAAATTTGTTGGATTTTTTTAATGTATTTCAGTTAATTTTGTTTATTACCATTTAATATCAGTTATTGTAATTTTGTTATCATTTAATACTTATTGTAAGTTTGTTGTATTTAAAATTATATTCAAATGCCAATTTGGTTATCATTAACTTGAAGTAAATGCAAATTAAAGTACAAGAATTATTATTTAATAAACAAATACATCATTTCCTCATCAATTGTTACTTGATGACAACATAAGTGGACATGTTTTTCTCGTGTATCCTGGGTTTCTACAATGCCCACATCTTCTGTCTTGTCTAGATCTTTCTCGAATATCCATATCGCAATGAATTCGATTGGATTTTGGACGACCACACTCCCTCAATAAACTCGGATTTGGTACAATCGGAAGCCAATCTTGAACCTCATCAGGATCTTTGTCATTACCTATGGGGAGAAACTCAAATTCATATACCTTAAAAACTTCAGATAATAGGTATATGGGATCCACAAAATGGTTATAGTATTAACGTGTGTGCGAGCAAGCTGCTATCACATGAGAGCATGGATACTTCAGAGCTTGAAAAAACTCGAAGTCACACGTTTTATCCCTTAGATTTACTGTTAACGACACAGCTTCAACCCCTTGAAAAGGTCGCGGCAACTCTGTGACACGAAACATTTCATGCCTTCTAGAGAAGCTTGTTACAGACATTCCATTTAATGCATCAATTTTTTTCTGTAAATATGCAACTAATCTAGGGTGATAGACATGACCGCCTTGCATCCAGGTTTGAGCATGTCCCCCGAGCTTCGCAAAAAGCGACCTCAAACAAAAATATGTAATTTTTACCAAAGCCGCTACAGGTAAGTGACGTGCACCCTTTAAGGTTGAATTGATTGTCTCAGCCAAGTTGGTCGTCATGTGTCCACATCGATATCCACCATCATATGCGTTCGTCCACATTTCTTTATCGATGAAGCTGATGTAATCGTATCCTTCCTCGTTCTTCGCCTGCAAATCTTGAAGCATTGATTTAAACGTTTGAGGAAGTAGTTCGTAACCTGATCAAAAAATGTATAACTTACTAACTTGCTTTCACTTACCAATGCGCACAATTAATTGACGTTCATCATTCTTCTTGTACCTTCCATGATAGTTCGCAGCAATGTGTCGGAGACAATACCTATGTTGGACAAAGGGTGGTTGCCACATTGGATCCAAAGACTCCATTGCTGCTTTGATCCCAACTCCGCGATCTGAAATGACACAGATGTTTTCCCTCGTGATAACATGTACACGTAAATTTCGGAGGAAAAAAACCCAAGAATCTATATCTTCTCCTTCGACAAGAGCAAAAGCAACTGGAAGAATGTTGCGATTACCATCTTGGACAACTGTCAATAATAAAACTTGCTTGTATTCTCCATACAAGAAAGTCCCGTCGATCTGGACCATAGGCTTGCAGTATTTGACAGCATTAACGCACTGTGGGTAACTCCAAAAAACCCGGTAGAATTGGCTTCGATCGCGAAGAACTCGATCATTATGGTATGCATAAGAGGTTTCGAAGTCCACAATTGTCCCAGGATTCAACGTCTGCACCAGCCTAAACCAACCTGGAAGTTCGTTGTAAGATGCATCCCATTCGCCATGAAATTTGACAATGACATTTTGTTTTGCCAACCAAATGTTTTTATAGGAGACAGTGTACCCATACTGTGATTGTATAGCTGAAATCAACACTGCAACAACTATATGAGAGCTTACTTTTATCATGGACATGATGACTTGGCATATCATTTCAGAATCCAAGTTGGGATTATCTTGGTTGACCCCTCCAACACAACATGTGTGAGGACCGTTGTATACTGTTAGTTCTCATATGTTGTTTTTCCTCTTCATTTTCGATACGCGAACCATCCAATTGCATCCGTTTTCGCGTCGGACACAATAGCATACATATTTTTCGGTCGTCGATCGGTTGACTATGGACTGAACAGAATTACGGATATTGTAATTTTTTATAGCCATCATCTCTTCTTCTTTGCTTGAAAACTCAATGCCTAAAGATAACTCACCATTATTTATTGATGAGTAATATCCATAGTCACCGAGATGAGGCATATCAGCAAATTCTGACCCGTACATTGCACCATAATCAGCTTCATACATGTGTGCAGGAGGATCAGTTTGTGTTACATTTCCTGGAACTTCATCTACATCATCATCATCGGAGTTAAATTGCGGTGATTCTGGGTGAATGAATAGTCCAATCTCAGGACCATCCGCACCAGGCTCACGAAGCGGTTCTTCTGGTGGAGATGATGATTCATCCATGCGCTCTACATTTAGGTCGAAGAACCTACTACTTGCATGTATTCCCCTTGAACTAGAATGCATATCGACATTGAGATCGAAAAAGCTCGCAGTCGAATGCCTCCCTTTGGAGCTTGAAGCCATCGTGTCAAATAGAAACTGCACAGATTGTTACGTCGATGACATCTCCATATTAAGGTCAAAGAAATTTACAGATTAATGTCTTCCCCTTGAACTGGACGCGGTGTTGCCATACGAATTGTTCGTGAACCCACCTCGGTACATATCGTAAAGAGTTGCGGATGAATGTCTCCCTATTATGACATTAAAATAATTACACATTACTGTAGTCGGGCTGTCAACTTTTCAGCCAGCCCATAGTGAGAGCTTAATGATTAACCCCGAACAACACGCACTTGAACAAAATATGCATACATCTCAATAGTAACGTCTGAATAATTACTTTGAGCTTCAACCATCATTTGAACATCATCATTTTTCGAAAGTTCGAACGCTGTATAAATTAATAGCAACAATGATATAGAAAATTTGTACTGCAACGATTTCATTCTTCTACTACTTCCAACATGAATCTTCCTCGAAATCTTTGTTATCAACTCCTCAAGAGTTATATTTCTTTTGAATTATATTTTAACACGCTCATTTAATACAAAAACAACACCGATTTAATCTTCTCGAATTTCACCATCATAATAAACAGTAGCTGAAAGTCGCGTTATTCTTTGAGTTTAAAAGTACGACAATATTATATCTATAAAAAAAGAACCAAAACAAACTTGATTAAATAAATTATATATGAACGAAAATATAACAATAAATTTTTTACATATTAATGTAAATAATTTAAATAATATAATATTATATTATTGTCTGCATCGCAAAACTATTTCGACGTATGCTCCCGTTTTTTAATTTTACAAACATAAAAATTAATTGAAAATAATTAATATAATATTTTTTCAAATAATGATAATAAACAAGTATAATTAAAAAATTATAACAAAATTATCTTATAACAAAAAATCGAACGAACTTCTAAATGAAATATGAGAAAATTATCTTAATTATTACTCGTTGACAAAATTGTTGTATTAATTTATAAGTTGAGAAGAGAGATGCGAGGAGATATGAAAAACTTAAACGGCGGAGAAAGATATTTATAACCATATAAAGCGCGATATTGTACCGCGCTATATGTAATTATTCATAAAAGATATAACGCGGACCAAGAACTGCGTTAAATATAATTCTAATACGTGACGTACAGCATGGCCCCTGATCCGCACTATACCCCTACGTGACGTATAGTGCGACCCTTGATTCACACTATACCCTTACGTGATGTATAACGCGGATCAGGAAACACACTATACACACGTGTAACTAATGTCAGCGTATAACGCGATACAGAGAACGTGCTATACCCCACGTAACGCCAAATCAACATATAACACGGGACATAAGGCATACTTTACTGCTACAGGTATTAGATCAAAAAATATAATCTGAACGATGTTAGATCGATAAATCACCAATAATTTTTCGAGAACTTTAAATATTCTGCCATTGCTACATCTAACAAAAAAAAAATACAAAAGGGTGACAAAACAGGCCAATTCCTCAACGTGAACCCCTTTCAAAAGCATTTTTTATTTATCTCTACAAAACTAGACCAAGCCAAGGGCACACTACTATACCACCATACTAACTAGTAACTACAAAAGCATCCTGCCTCTTTTTCAAGTTTGCAAGAAACCCAAGTTTATTTCACCTTCTATCTTCTTTATCGACTTCATTCTCTCGTCTTATTCAGTCATTTATCAGTATCTTTTCATGGCAAATCACATGCAAGCAAAATGGAAGATTGAAGGTGACTAAATCCAGTCCCTAGGAAACCCCATCTCTGGAGGAAGATGATAATGGCAATCCTCTTGTTTCACAATACTGACCCCTTTCATGGCCTTCATCTCTCGGCTAACTTGAATCTCTTGTGATTGCCTATTTCTCAGACCTGTTAAAGATACAAATACACCGAACATGTGTAAATGAAGCAATATCCAAATATGTAGTGGCCACTAGAAATGTTATAGAAAAAGAAAACTTTCCCTTTGCAGCTACACCAAGCAAGAACAATAAGATTATTCAAAGGTATTTAACACTCACTAGCCCAAGTGCAAGTTTTATGGTAGTTCTCACCAAACTACAATAAATATTTGCATTAAATGGAATTTGATCAATCTTTACCATTGTTTTTAATAGCCTAATAATTTGTCAAATAGGTAAAAATTACAGTTGTTCTAGCAAATTTTACCTTTCATATAAAGACAATATTTTATTGTATTATTTCATGTTGAAAATTTTCTCATAAAAGTGTTTCACTGCAAAAAGTGAAACAACAATGAACAAACACTGCACCAGAAATGCAGCAAACAACTGCAGAAGAAAACCACATGCTTCAATGCCAAAACTCAGAACCCATCAAACAGAAGAAGTGAAAAACGAAGCAATTCATCTTCAATACCGAAAAAAAGGGAAAGGAACTTTACCTTGTTTCTTTTCGGAATCAAAAGTACTGTTAAGAACGCGAGGATGAAAAACTCCAGTGCCTCCGGATGTTCTCACCAAACCACCGCCTAACCTGTGCTTATAATTATTAAAACCATTTGCTTGAAATGGCAAATCCCGGTTTTGAAAAAGCCGGTTTTGTAGCCTTTGCAGAACCCTAGCTCTGGCTTCAACGTAGCTCTCAACCTACAAAAATAAATAATATCATACCATCATTACTGCAAAAAAGAAAGAAAAGTATTAAAAAATGTTAAGAACACTGAAATGTGAAAAGACCGTTCATTACTGGGGAAAAGGAAAAGCATCAAACCAGAAACCTTTCAAGTACCTGAGCTTGAGTTGGTTTCACGAACTGACATTCATAAACCGGTTTGGTCCCTCCAAGAAAAGGGCCGCTTCTGAAACCGTAAAAGCTTTGACCCGCTTCCAAACCACTCCTATTAACCGTACCGTAACAAACCGGTTCTTGAACCCTCTGCAAAGTGGGAGTAAGAAAGCAAGAAAACATGAGGAAGAAAGACATGGTTGCAACGCGTAAAGCCATGAAAACCAAGGAAAATGTAAAGCGTTTAGAAAAGAACCTCAAAGTTGACGGCTTTGGATAGTTTTTGGTGATGTTTAGGAAGTTTAAGCGCGGCGAAACGAGAAGCTAAGTCTTCCATGCAAGAGAAAGGGAGACGACGGGAGTTATGGTGGTGAAGGTGGGGCTTGATTTTGGAAGGGACGTCGTTGAGGAAAATATCAGACGGGAGCCAAAGTTCACCATCATCCAAATTTGGAGGAAAGTTTAGGAACTCATTCGCCATTGTTTTGGGGCAAAAGGGAAGTAGTAAATAGAGATTCCGTTTTTGTTTTCTGGGTTTGGGGGCCAGAAACGAAGCGTCTGTAAAGAGGGGCAATTTGTTTTTCAAAATGACGTTACTGCTTCTCTGCTTATAAAGGAGAGAAAGAAAAGGTCGATGCATGGAATGGATACAAAAGACTAGGCGTAAACAACACTGCTGGTCATTTTTATTTTTAGTCTCTCTGATTTAGACTTCTAATTTTAAAACAAATATAACTTGATCACTTATGTTTTCTATTTATTATATTTTGATCATTTCACTGTTAATTCTCATGACCCAATAACATAAATTTGACTTGACATTTAAAAAAAGATCAATTATATGTTTAGTATTTAAATGATTATTTTTGTTCCATTTTAGTATTGAAAATTTATTTTTATTTTAAAATCATACATAATATTTAGTTTAGATTTTATTTTGATATTTAGTTGTTAAAATTTTAAGAGAAAATCGCCTCAGTGACCAAAAATGCCTTATAATATACGATTTTAACCAACTTTTTTTTGGATTTGCCAAAATGACCAACAAAATCGCAACGCGAAATAAAAATCGCAACGCGATCCCCAGAATCGCAAATCAGTTTCCAAAATCGCAACGCGATTCTTGAAAATCGCAATGCGATAGTACAAATTCGCATTGCGATTTTCCAGAATCGCAACGCGAATATGAAAATCGCAACGCGAACACATAAATCGCAACGCGTATCCGTAAATCGCAACGTGTATCCGTAAATCGCAACGCGTATCCGTAAATCGCAATGCGCATCCGTATATCGCAACGCGTATCTGTAAATCGCAACGACAATACGTAAAATCGCAACGCGTATCTGTAAATCGCAACGCGATTTTTAAAGCGCCATTATAATCGCTACGCGTATTTTATTTTCAAATTACAAAAACGAATATTAAGACAAAATCCCGTAATCGCAACTCATAACCTAAAACCTAAAATCACAACTCAGTCTCATCTCCATCTCTCACTCTCTACGGCGAAATCCGTCCCCATCTCCGAAGATTTCCGTCCCCATCTCCGGCGAAATCCCTCACAACCATTCACGGTCAGAAATCCCTCACAATATTCAGAAATGGAAAATCAACCTCCGAGGGTTAGTTTTTTTAATTATTTTTATTTTGAAATTTTTGCATTATTGTAGGTTTTTCATATTGAAACTGATGATAAGTTTACTGGTCATTTCAATAATAGATTAACCATTTCACTTAGATTTCATTTCGCGTTACGATTCTCTCGTTGCGATTTTCATTTCGCGTTGCTATTCTCTCGTTGCGATTTTCAAGTTAGTATTTGTCTTTGTCTTTGTTCTGTCTTTTGGTTGAAGTAATGCAATCCATTCAAGTTTCAATTTGCAGAAGAGTCGCAACGAGAGAAATGAAAATCGCAACGTGAAAATGACTATCTGCAACGAGAAAAATGAAAATCGCAACGAGAGAATTGCAACGCGAAACGAAAATCGCAACGAGAGAATCGCAACGCGAAACCAAAATCGCATTGCGATTTTCATTTCGCGTTGCGATTCTCTCGTTGCGATTTTCATTTCGCGTTGCGATTCTCTCGTTGCGATTTTCATTTCTCTCGTTGCGACAGTCATTCTCTCGTTGCGATTTTCATTTTAACCAAAAGACAAAACAGTGTTGCAAATTTTAGTTTCAAGAATAAACTACTACTTTTTATGTTTATTGTTTTTGGTATATCTTCACAGTGTAGTTTTTGGTATATCTAACTTGGTATGTTTATTGTTTTTGTAGAAATTTTTTTCGGCTTCATTGACATTAAGGAATAAAGTTAGCCTAGCCACTACAATTGCTTCGAAGCTTTCACCTGCACAAAGACAATTGTTTGAGGAAACCTGCTTCGGGCCATGGCTGAGAGTACAGCATCTTGGTGGAGATGCTAATTTGACCCATTTGTGGCTTCAGACCATGACATCAAATCTACCCGACAGTATACAACGTGGTGAGGAAGAGATATGGTTTCATTTTCCACCAGCGTATACTTGTTTTGGGCGGAAGGAGTTCTGCTTAATCACTGGTCTACGATTCGGACACAATGATGTAGGCCGGTATACTCGTCATATCGCCCGCCCATCATGGTTATCCTGGGTTTTTCCGGATGAGTCAATGGAGAAGCCGAACCTACACGTCGACGACCTGAAGAAATTGTTTAATAAGAAAGCTGGTTTCACTCGGATGGATGACGTCGATGTTGTCCGAGTATGCCTTCTACTACTTGTGTATGCCGGCTTTTTAGGCAGAGAGGCCAGACAACCTATTCCTCGGGAGCTAATAATATTGGTAGAGGACCTGAATGCATGGAATCTGTTTCCGTGGGGTTCGTATATATGGAAAGCTACCTGGACTAAGTTGTCTACTGCCTTTGATGACCGCAAAATTTTGCGTGGCGATGGGTCGAAATACACTTTGTCAGGCTTTGTTTGGGCCTTTAAGGTAAGAATTTCTATATAATGTTTCTAAAATTATAATTAATTATTTAACAATTACTAATTTTGTTATTATATTATTTGTAGATTTGGATATTCGAGGCTTTCCCCAGCATGCGTACATATGCAATAAAAATGTCAAATGATATTCCCAGGGCTATTTCCTGGAAGAGGAAAAATCTGTTGGATTGGGAAGACTTAATACCATATGCGACAATAAATAATGTAAGTTAACACAAATACTTTCATATAATATATAAACAAGTTATTAATAGTAGACGTTTAACTTTGTTTGAGTTTTTATATTGTTAGGAGGCCAACATTCCATTACAAAGACTGACACCCACGGAGGAAGAGCTTGCCACTGATTGGTGGCAAGCTAGTCAGAGTTTTTTTGATGGCACAGATGATGAGCAGCATCCACTTCCTCCAATTCGAGAGCCATCACCTCACCCAGAGCCATCACCCGATCGACCCGACTATACACCTCTAGAACGAGAGCCATCACCTATCCCGTCACATCATCGAGCCTCTTCTCCACCATCACCTCATGATAGGCGACCGGTAAAGAGGCCACGACATTTATCTCCTTGTTCTCCACCTCCACGGGATGAGTTACGTGATGAGGTCAATGCCTTGCGTGAGGAGATCGGTACTCTACGCGATAACGATGGTGCATGGCGTGTGGAGGTGTCAACTTTACGTGGTGAGGTTGCCGCTCTACGTGAGATGATAGTATCGTTGCAGAATGAGGTTCATACTCTACGCAACGAGGTAAGTTTAAGATTTTCCATATTTAACTTAATGATAAATTTACTCGTAATTTCACTTAGATTAGCCATTTCACTTAGATTGCTTAGTAAATTTATTCGGTTGCTGCCAATTCTGCTAAACTGTGTATTCTTTAACACTGTGAAATAGTATTTGTCTTTGTTTTGTCTTTTGGTTGAAAGTAAATTTGTTCGGTTGCTGCCAATTCTGCTAAACTGTGTATTCTTTAACACTGTGAAATAGTATTTGTCTTTGTTTTGTCTTTTGGTTGAAAGTAAATTTGTTCGGTTGCTGCCAATTCTGCTAAACTAATACCATGAAGTCAGTATTTGTCTTTGTTTTGTCTATTGGTTGAAGTAATGCAATCCATTCAAGTTTCAATTTGCAGAAGAAGAAATAGTTTACTTTCGCAACACGAAACTTAAAATCGCAACGAGAGAATCGCAACGACAGAATCGCAACGCGAAACCAAAATCGCAACGCGAAACCAAAATCGCATTGCGATTTTCATTTCGCGTTGCGATTCTCTCGTTGCGATTTTAAGTTTCGTGTTGCGAAAGTAAACTATTTCTTCTTCTGCAAATTGAAACTTGAATGGATTGCATTACTTCAACCAATAGACAAAACAAAGACAAATACTAACTTCAGGGTATTAGTTTGAAACATATTTTTCTTTGTTATCTGATGCATTTTGTGAACTATGATAGAATAATGACTTGGGTGAATACAATGCAAGTTTGAAACATATTTGTATTTGTTTTCACTGTTTAAATATCATGTCTGTTTATTTACTGATTTTTGTATTTAATTATTTAGCGGCCCGATAGAGTGGATGCTTTACGTCGGGTTATGCTTGCACGACGGAGTTCACGCATCAGACAGCGTGCACGTGCTATTAAGTCTCCGTACACCCCAATAGTGCGAAGACACCGCAAGAAGAAGCCCGACTCGCCTGTCAATCCTCAAGAGTCCACTCCTATCGTTGAAGAGGCCCCCCCTATCATTCCTCGAGAGTCCCCTCCCACCGTTCAAGAGGCCACTGTCATCATTGAAGAGGTCCCTCCCACCATTCAAGAGCCCGATTCACATGGCGTCATATGTAGGCTTCTTGAGAAACCCTCTGACGTGCCGGACATAATGGATGAGAGTTGGCTCTCGTATAAGTTACCGGCTAGTACCATTCTGGTATCGGAAGTGGAGAGGAGACAACTACCAGACACAATTCTGGATAACACCCTTTGGGCTAAGACCGCAGTTGATTTTTATCTACATGAGCGGAGCCAGAGGTGTTTCACTGACATATGCAAGCTCACCGATGATATCTATTTGTTGCTTGATCGGTCTTGGTGGGGCGTATTATTAGGGGTCGAAGACAATGGCTATTTCGATGGGGGGGTAAGTCTTATATTTTTCTTATATTTCAATTTGATTAATTTTTTTTTAAATTTATGTAAGTCACTAATATATGTCTTTTTTTGTAAAACAGCATATCGATGCGTGGGTGACACGTCTTCTAATAATAAGAAAACTTAAGAAAAATAAAAATATACGATATACAATTATGCCGACGTCTTTTAACGCCGTTCACTTGAAGAATGCACGAGATGAATCATTTGATTTGGGCAATGGACAAGCTAAACTTTATCCTGCATGGTGGGAGGTCGATAAGGTTAGTATTTATTTTAGATTGAGTTTAAAGGTTTTATGAAATAAGTGCGCAAATGAATGAATTATTACTTATGATTGCAGGTGTTTATCCCTGTTTTGGAACGTAAACATTGGATTCTCGTCGAGCTTCAGCTCCCATCCCTTAA